TTTTAATGCACAACGGCATTCTCCTTTGGGTAACGATTTTCTCCTTGGTGGAATAAAAAAAATGGGCAAAAATATTGCCTAGCGAAGAAATCGGACACCGTAGGTGAAAACTGGTAGACTTTAAATAAACAACTTTTTGAAATCAAGCCAAGAAAATTCACCCAACCAGATCTAATAAGATGTTATCTTTTAAAAGTGACTTCTATAGCTCGTTTGAATTTTACAGTACCGTTAAGCTTGAGCTCCGGATTAGACAAACCATCCAGTTTGAGAGTCTAAATAGAGAGATTCAATCTCGGAACAAGTGCTTGGATTAAAATTTTTGCCCTTAATAAGTGAAGCGACAATGTAAGGAGCTTAACTCAAACACTATCAGTAGTAAACTTCGAGGCTGTTGGCACCTACCTTGTGAGCGTTCCTCCGGAAGAAGGCCTTACACGACTCACAGGTAAGTTGGCCAAAATTGTGATTAACTGCACGATCCCCACACACACGACACTTCTTTGTGGTAACCGCCACCGTGGCAGCTGATCCATTTATGGTTTCTAGAGTGCCTCCTGGGTCTCTAGGTGAACCGCTACCGTTGGTGACTCCGTAACTCTCCTCCCTCCCATCTCGCAGACCTCTAAAACCTGCCTTTCCACCAATAGCAGTGACGGTACCGGAATCACTTCGCTTGCTGCCCGATGGAGGAATCTGACTTCGCCGAGACTTCGTATAGGAGGGAGACAGCTGAGGTTGGGAGAAATATGTCGTGGCTGGAAGGGGTTCCCACGCATTTTGTTGGGGGTGATGTTGTGATGATGGAGGTTGCCCTGAGGTCTCTGGTTGAGCTAGCCAGGCATCAGGGACGGTCCGAAGTTGTTGAAAGTAGTCTGCGGACAGGGGTGACAGAAAGTGTGATTTGGGCCCAGAAGCGGCTGTAGAGGCTGTAATCATATAAGCCGCGGCAGCTGAAGTTGAGGAGGACTCAGGCGACATTGCTGCTGTGACTGGAGGTGGCGCGCTGGCGAGATGCAGAAAGTTGGTGGGCTTCACGTCACTTTGGTACATTGGCAATGAAGACCCACACTCCAGCGATTTCTGTATTTAAAAGAAATATACGTTAGCATCATCCATAGCACCGTCTACTGCCTCACAGCAGCAACTGTTTTTTTTCTGAAGTTGATACACCTTGGTTAGTGGGAACATTATATGACTAAAATATTTTGTACCGTTTTGATATAGTTCGGTGCAATGTCTTGCTGTTACGCATGGAGTCTTGTCGAATGTATGCCATTGCTTAACAGGCCGGCATTGAAAACCGCTGCTAGGATGGTCAGTTTACCAGTACAATGCTACAAAATAGGCTTTCTTTTAGTTATCTGCTATCAATTCACATATTCATTTCGCAATATGTCGATTGAAGTTTACGGATGTGGTCCATACTTGCTTGCTTCCATTTGAAGGGTTTCCTAAATGCCAATATTACCGAAGTTGTCCCTCTGAGCAATTTATATCAATGCAAATTGATAAATTGACAGGGTCACATCTTAAATAAAAAAATCTCGAGAGCGACGGCGCTGATGATGAAACAGAGAAAGGAAAACGAAAGAGAAGCGTAGTCATCTAAAAGCGTGTCAAGAGCTGCCCATTGGGGAAGGTAGTGACAAGGATGTGGTTTACACGGACTAAGTAAGAACTTAAAGTCGCAGTGTTTTGCTCATAAGCACTAACAGTTGGAAGTGAATTTAATGGTTGTCCATTTAGCTTAACAATATCATCAACGATCGACTGGTAGGACTTATCCATTTCAGAATGAGAAGTGAAGTTGGTACGTAAAAGTTGGTTAGATGTGAGAAGATGCTAACAGTTGTACTCATATAGTCCATTATAGGGTTGATGCTATTCTCGCTTATCTTTAGGATACAAAAAAATTTGCACCCGTCCTTGAAATCGTGTTCGCAAGTAAGATGTACTGTAAACTGATGGCAGACGATAACTGTAAAGAAACCTATAGTGC